TATTTATTTGAGAGAGAGAGAATGAGAGACAGAGAGCATGAGAGGGAGGAGGGTCAGAGGGAGAAGCAGACTCCCTGCCAAGCAGGGAGCCCGATGCGGGACTCGATCCCGGGACTCCAGGGTCATGACCTGAGCTGAAGGCAGTCGCTTAACCAACTGAGCCACCCAGGCGCCCCCCATTTTTCTTTTCATCCTTCACCGTGCTAGAATTATTACAGCTGCTCTGTAAGTGAAAAACTTCCAGATGGACAGAGCTCTGTAAATAATTTAACACCATAAATGCTGATGTTTGTTCTCTCTCACTTTGTGTGTGTGTATGTGTGTGTGTGTGAATTACCTTTTTTTTTTTTTTTTAAGATGTTATTTATTTAGGGTGCCTGGGTGGCTCAGTTGGTTAAGCGACTGCCTTCAGCTCAGGTCATGATCCCAGGGTCCTGGGATCGAGTCCCGCATCGGGCTCCCTGCTCTGCGGGGAGCCTGCTTCTCCCTCTCCCACTCCCCCTGCTTGTGTTCCCTCTCTCGCTGTGTCTCTCTCTGTCAAATAAATAAATAAATAAAATCTTAAAAAAAAAAAGATGTTATTTATTTATTTGACACACAGAGAGAGCACAAGCAGGAGGAGCAACAGGCAGGCAGAGGGAGAGGGAGAAGCAGGCTCTCTGCTGAGCAAGGAGCCCGGTGCAGGGCTCGATCCCAGGACCCTAGGATCATGACCTGAGCCGAAGGCAGATGCTTAACGACTGAGCCACCCAGGCGTCCCTGTGGATTAGCTTCTTAATAAGGTTTCTTAGGGTAATGTTAACATCAGTTACCATTTTTTGAACATGTAGTGGCCAAGTAGTCAAAGAAACCAGCAGCTGAAAGAAGTACTCGACGCCACTGGAAGCAGCTGGGGCACTGTCTTCTCTGGGCCTGGGGTGTTCAATGCGTATTTCAGTTACAACACAGAACATGTTTTATTGTGCTTTCACGTATTCATAGCTCTCCTTCCCACTGCACTGAGCTGGAAGACAGGAAGATGTCTCGGGTGGAGCTGGGCTCACAAGGCGTTCACTAAGTATTTGACCTAGCGCCCTGTGTTTCACACCACTGTTTTTGAGAAAACCATCTCTTCTTTCTTCAGTATGGTGTTTCTCACATTAGAGACCAAGGCAGGAGTTTCCACGCCGTGTTCTGAGGGTTCTATCACAACTTTCCAGATGCCTTTTTCCTTTTATTAAATGGAAAAAATACCGTGACTCATCAGGATGACCACATTAGCAACACAGATCCACTAAAGTGATGGTGGTTAACTCTAAATTTAGTACTGCTCAAACATGCCCACGAAGATTTCTTCTGGCATGTTCTCAGGGGTCTGAAGGCTCGTGTTGGAGGATGTTGCAGTCAGGCACAGTTAAGATGCCGCGTTGTTCTGGGAAATGCCTCCCTCTGTGCTCCTTGTCGGGGGCCGCCATGACACCCCCCCCCTGTGTGTTCTGATGGGATTTCCCCTCTGGCTCTGTGAACCCCTCTGTCAGAGTTAGGCCTGTTTCCACAGTGCTTTTCACACTAGCGTACAGCATTCACTGAGCTATGTGGTAATTTGGGAATATGCATTCACGGGTCTCTGCTATCGGATGCCGAGCATCTGCAGTCAGGGACGCTCTCCAGCATTGAGTCCCAAGCACCCAGCTCAGTCTCAGTAAGGCGGTCCGATCCAATCCAAAGCTGACTAGAGTGGATGCAGACAAACACATTTTAAAGGTCTCCTCATTCTTTTGAGATTGAGACTCATGTGGTCACTGATTTTTCATTTCTACAAGTATTTTTTGTTTTTCCCAAATTGGTCTTATAGATATTTTTACCTGTTCTTGTCTTTCAATATGCCAAACATGATCATCTTCCAACCCGTGTCTGATTCTTATGGACTTGGCACTGTTTCTGCTCCCTGTTTCCAAGTAGACTCTTCATGTTGCTTGGTTATATCTTACAACCTGCCGATCAATGAGTTTTTCAAGTTATATGTCAGAGTGGCCAAGTCTTAGGATGAACCTCTGAAGAGGTCTGAGTTTGCTAGGAGACAGAACAGTCTCAGTCTGGAGCCCCCTGAACCGAGCAAGCTCATGGTTTGATGTGAGGCTCAAAGGGCTGTGTTGTGGGCATCATTTCTCACGATGAGCCTATTTTTTAAATTTCCTTTTTCTTTTCTTTGATTTGAAACTACTCTGGCCTTCTCCATAGTCCTTTAACTTTGGGGACAGGCCGTTGTGATGCTAGGTACTTTTCTGAGAGGGTGGCTCTTTGGGACCCCCATCTAAATTTGAGGAGGATCTCCTGTCAGATCTTGGATGGGCTTTCGGCCTTGAGTCCTGGCTCCCTCATTCCCCTTTCCTGGGGCCGTGGACTGAAGCCTAAGTGGGCATGAATGGCAGTGGGCCCCCACTTCTCCAGGATCCCCCCAAGACTAGACTGGGAGTTCCTTGCTCTTAAATTTTTAAGTGTTCTTAGAAATACCTTTATTATTATTATTTTTTAATTGAAATATATTTGATGTATAACATTGTACAAATTTAAGGTGTACAACATTTTGATTTGATACATTTATATATTGTAATATGATGGCCACTGTAGCAATAGTTAGCTCCTCTGTCACCTCACAGAATTATCATTTCCTTTTTGCAGTGGGAATAATTAAGATCTAGTCTCTTGGCAAGTTTGATGTTTATAATACAACATTATTGTCTATATTCACTGTATTGTGTATTAGATCTCTAGGACTTATTGGTCTACGTTTAACTCCTCAGTCTTTTACAGGTACTTCCTCCACCTACCCCCCCAAAAGAAGTATGCATTTTATCCAGCATCTGTCTTTTCTCTTTTCTTTTTCTTTTCCTTTCTTCCCTTTCTAACCTCCCTCTTCCTCCCCTTTCCTTTCTCTTTCCTTTCCCTTTTCCCCTTCCTTCCTTCCTCCCTCCCTCCTTCCATCCCTCCCTTCCTCCCTCCCTCCCTCCTTCCCTTCCTTTCTTCTACCCAGCAGGAAAATTCTAAATAACCTAGCCTACTAATTCTGGAAATAGAAGATCTAAAAATCAATTTAAAGATAGAAAATTATTAACTGAGTGTAAGTCTTAAATAGTCTTAAAATAAGCCTTAAAATACTCTTTCCCTTTTAGTCGTCTTTTTGTTTGTTTGTTTGTTTGTTTATTTATATAGACTCCACACCCAACATGGGGCTTGAACTCACGACTCTGAGATCAAGTGTCACATGCTCTACTGATGAGCCAGCCAGGCACCCTCCGCTTTAGTCTTCTTTAAAACTTGTTAGTTGAGGTAGATAATGTAGATCTGAAGTCAGTATAAAAATAGGTCATTTAGATATTTCAGGTGAAGAGTTGTCCCCAAATGACCCCAATTATAAAAACTTCCCTAGAAATGGGTACCTTGAATGATTGGCTGAACTTAGTAAAATTTAATCCTTAAATTTACCATCAAGACACTTCCTGTTGTATGAAGCACGAAACTAACTCAAACTACCATAAGCCCTAAAGAGTATTTATTAGCTTACATTGCAGGTCTTGGGATGAATGGCTTCAGGCACAGCTGGATCCAGGAACTCAAGTATTATCATTAGGCTTAGTGTCTATCTTTTGTCTGTTCTGTGCTAGCTCCACTCTCTGGCATGCTCTTTTATATGGCAAGGTGACTTCCACAAACTCCAGACTCACAGCCTTTGCTTTAAGTCTATGATCTCCAAACTTTGTTGATTATGTATCCAGTGATAAAAGCTAAGCACATGTTCTCAATGTGTGTATATTTACTTATAAATTATATGTGATTATATACCACTGTTATTCTATATGTTACATTAGTTATTAGTAGAGTTCAGGTTTCTTTTGTTTTAAGATAAAGAAGAAAATAGGGGCACCTGGCTGGCTCAGTCAGTAGAGCTATGACCCTTGATCTCGGGGTGGTGAGTTCCAGCGCCTTGTTGGTCATAGAGTTTACTTAAAATAAAAAACTAAAGTATAGAATTAATTTCTAAAAAAGATAAAGAATAAAATAGAAGTACTAATACTTTCTGTACTGCCAGTGGATTGTTTTGCATACCCCAATTTGGAGACAGCTTAGTGGACATCTCTCCCATCAGATATAATCACAGTCTTGGGACCACAGCTCATTAGTTCTTTTTGGCCTAGCTTGAGTCACATGCCCATTCCTGAGTCCAGAGCTGTCAAAATAGTAAAAGCAAACTTTTCTAGTGTAAAGTGACACAAATATCTGAATAGGTATAATTAGATAATATTTTAACTTTTTAAAGGTATTTACATTTTTGAACCTTATTTGAACCCTTATTTCATTGCTATATTATCAAAAAAAGGGCATAATCATTCAGTACGATGTTATAGAACAAAGATTCTCTATTTTCATAGCAATTTAATTCCATTAGTCAGTACTTAATTTCTGTGATGTCATACCCAGTGTATCATGAAAGTATCCAATCTAGTTTTTGTTAATATTCCAGTGACAGGTGAATGCTTCATGTTAAGATATAGGAACTGATGACTCTTGCAAATAAAATCCTGTTCTTATAAATTTTGACAATGGCCATTTTGCACAAGATGGATAACTGTGTGGAAAGGCAAGTGATAGAGGGTCCTGAATAATTTTCGGATTTCTAAAGAGAAGAGGAGGTCACTGGTTGAACGGAGAATTTTGCTTGTAAGAATGGGTAAAGAACATGAACAGAAAATATTATTCAGAAACTTTCTTTTTTAAAAAAATATTTGAGAGAGAGAACAAGTGTGTGTGGGGGAGGGGCATGGGGGGAGAGAGAAAATCTCAAGCAGACTACACGCTGAGCATGCAGCCCCACACAGGGCTTGATCTCATGATCCTGAGATCATGACCTGAACTAAAACCAAGAGTCAGACGCTTAACTCATTGAGCCACCCATGTGCCCCTCAGAAACTTTCTGATGAACAAGATGTTCTCTTTTTTTAAAAATTGGTCTTCTGTGGCAGAAATGCAATGGCTCATCTTGATTCTGAGGTGAGAGAAGAATGTCTGAGGGAAGACCTGAAGTTTTACTTCATGAACCCTTGTGAAAAATACCGAGCCAGACACCAGATTCCATGGAAGTTGGGATTGCAGATTTTGAAGATAGTCATGGTCACCACACAGGTAATTCATATTATCAGTTTTTTTTTTACCTTATCCCAAGATGAAATTGTTTTCATGTGTTCTGCCCTTGACTTTTTTGTTCTGAAAAGTCCACAGTCAAGTTCATAAAACTATAAAGTTATGCTGACTCTGGAGGGCAGATGATAGGTTGAAGTTCAGTTTCGATGATGACCTTGTTTTAGTAAGGGCTTCTGAGGCCATCTTCCCACAGGTTCTGCAAATAGAGATGAATAGTAGGTCTATATAATAGCAGATCGATATGGGGTGGGGTGGGGTGGAGTTCTGTATCTGAATGAAGCACACAGACTGGTGAAACCTGCTCAATCCCAAGTGAGGGTGTTCTTGAAATTTCTCATCTTCTTTCAAATACACTTTTGAAATCACATTTTTGACTGTTTTGACTTGAGACTTGACAGAATTCTGTTTCCTTTCCCATCAGTAGCTAAGCTGGTAAGTAAATGCTTACGCTTGGGCCTGTCAGGAGCATAGGAGGGCTACACTGGGATCTTCTGTTGAATTTCATATGGTTGAGACTTTACTCTCAGGATCACACCAGCCATCAGAGTTGTCATCTAATTTTTGAAACTGTGGTTTGGAACCCGTTTCAGGGAGGCTCCTTTCTAGGTAACCACATTTGAAATGTGTGCCCTTCTAAAAACACTACCAATTTGGGGTGTTTGGCTCCTTTGGCAAATCATCGTCCTGTTATCAATGTAAAGATGTTCTTTCTGGAACATAAAAATGAATACCTTTCTAAAAATACCTTCGTATAGTTTTAGAAATGAGAGGAGGTTCCTGTTGTAACTGAAGTTGCATCTTTATTCTGTGATCATAAAGAGGTCTTTTCATTGGATGTCATGCTTTCCACTCCACCAAGTTTTAGGGTAACCAAGTTGCTTTAAAAGAAACAACAAAGTTGAAAAAAATCCAACAAAGTTGAGATACAGGGACCCCGTTAAATGTGAATGCTTGGCTTTTTCCGTTTAAAAATCTTTTCATTTTAATTCTTGGTTTTGAAGTTTTAATTTTGGCATCCTATGAAGTAGGTACATTACTGGTATACTTGGAAGGAGGAGAAATAATGTCCCCTTTCTCATTTGGTTAATTTTAATTGTTTCCCAATTTCTTCTCTGGACAAACCAACTTTCAGTTCAGCTTCTTGATCTGTTAATGTTACTAAAACTCCACCTCATCTAGGTATAGAACATCCCGATCTTTGACTTAACTTCTTTGTCCTGACGTCTAGTAAATCTCATGGATTCTTCCTTAAAACTGTGTCTACTTATGCTTTGCCATACTCACTATCTTCTCTCTCTAGGACAGACTCTTATCTCATTAATTTATGTATGAAGCACCTCCCATGCTGTGTGTCTTGCTGGGAATACAGCTGGGAATAGGTCACTGCTGCTGAGAGGTAACCTAACACGTGGCATAGCATTCGCCATGTGCCAGGCACAGGTGCTCTCTGCATGTTCATTCATTTCATCCTCACGGTAACCCTGGGAGGCGGGGTCAGTTATTGCTCCCTTCTTGTGGATGAGGAAATGGAGCCAAAGAGAATAAGTAATTTGCTTATGGCCATTCAGTTGGTAAGTGGTAGAGTCGGATTGGAGCCCTGCGGTCTGGCTCTAGAGTCTGCACTCTTACCTTCAGATTGGTTTTATTCCAAACGTGGGTGCTGTCCTCAGTTTGCAGTCTAGGAATACAGACAAGTTGATAAGGCTGCTTCCAGACTTTGTCTTATGCCTACCTTCCTTATCCACACCCACACCAGTGCATTCAATGCTAATATCAAATGAATTTTTCTTAGAATGCCTTAATTGGGTCACTCTCCTGCTCAGAAACTTTTGTGGTCCCCATTTTCCCACAGAAGAAAATCTTGATTATGGAGCTTGAAATTCAGATTTCCACAGTCTCCTTCGACTTGCCTTTCCAATGGGTTTTCATCTATTTCCTCCCCAATCCCAGCCAGCTGGATGCACCCGGGGATTCTCATCCCTGCCCTGTTTGCTCCACGAAGTCCAGAGTGATTCTTTTTCTCCATCATCTTGCAGGTGCCCTTGGAAGTCCCCCACCGGTCTTGCCTGACCACTCACCACATGGTTTTCCTGGGGACACTAGTACCTGTTGCTATCTATCTCGCTGCTTTTGCTTTTAATAGACTACTTCTGGGAAAAGATAATTTACTTTTTGTGTGGGTATATCTTGTCTTCCCTAACAGTGTTGGGAGGGATTAAACTCTTGTCCTGCTGGAGGACCATTCTAATAAGTTTTGCTACAGGGGTGATATCTAATTGGCGCAGATTTCTCGAATACCTTTCCTTCTTTCAGATCCCACTTGTCCCTCCTCCTCTTTTTCTGTCTCTTAGCACTCCATCCTCAAGTCTATTGGGATGGGTGGCATTTTATCAGGGTTGATAGGGAGGAAACTTTTTAAAAAAAAAGACATTCCTACTCTGCATTCTGCAGTAATTTATAATTTTGAGAGAGGTGTCCACATTTTTTTTTGCCAGTTCTACTTGTTCCTTCCCATATTTTTTTGTATATTATTAGAGCAGTATCTTGTTTTTATCTGGTACAGAATATTTTCTCCTACACTGATTTAATAATCAGACCTTCACAATCTTTGCCAGGCTGCACTTAATGTGTAACTATTTTTCTGTCTAATATCATAATCTCGGCAAATCTTAAGATCCAGTTAGTGGGGCAAGAGTGCATTTTTCTGTCAACCATTTGACCAAATCCATCATCTTACTCTTGCTCCATAGGGAATATTTGGTTCTGCCATAGCAGGAAGGGGATTTATGATCTCCTCCTGAGGGTTTCTCTTCTCTACTAACAGATGCTTTGAAAATCCCAACGCTGACCTGATGCTGGGCCATATAAGTGATCTTAGCTTATTCTAGGAATAATGGAATGGAGGACATTTCTTGTTGCTGATGCCAGATGGGGGTGGTTCTAAGCAGAGATTACACCTTCATGTTCTCTCATTCCCAAAGTTGGGTTGATGAGCTTTGAGTTTAAATAAGGTGGTAGCTTAAAATATCAGCAAATAGTATGCCACTTTCTTGGTCAAGTTATCCATTCCCCATTCTGATTTTTTTGGTGTGTTTTTTTGTTTTGTTTTGTTTTGTTTTTAGCTCAAGTCTGACTGTGGGAGGAATGGGTCAAATATCCCTGCTTCTAGAGTTAAGTTGGCAACATCTCTGTTTGAGAGGTGGTGTGGCCAGGTGGTCAAGAGAAGGGATATGTAAGCCTAACAGACCTCACTCTGACACTTTCTAGCTGTTCCAACCTGAATAAGTTCCCTGACTTCAGTTGCACGTGTATAAAATGGGATTCTGTTCATCAACGGATTCAGTATTTGACCCTGGCATTGTGATGGGCACTATTCCAGTTCCTGAGCAGGGGGGGGAAAGCCTGTCCTTGTGGAGCCCAGTGTAATATCCCCCTCATAGGGGTTTGGCGAATTAAATTTTTTAAAGATTGTAAATTTTAGGCATGGTCCCTGATACTCAGTAGATAAGAGCTGTTATTCAACACCATGCAACTTGATCTTGCCCCCATCATATCCCAACTCAGGACAGAATAAGCACTCAGCAAACTTTGACTGAAAACTTAATTCATGTGCGTGTATACCAGTTTTTTTTTTTTTTCATTTGTGTGTCAGTATTTAATAAAACCTTGAAACAATCATGTGTGTATTGGTTCCCTGGTTTACTTTTGGCTTTCAAAAAGCAACATGACCTTTTTTGGCATCTCCTACAGCTACCATTGACAGATGTTGTGTGCTTGGAAAAACCTTTAGCTTCCAGTTGCTTGATTTCTAGCACAGGTTGGAGGATGTGGGGTTTCTTATCTGATATTTTCCTTAGACTAGCTGGGTTTTAACAATTGCTCAATCCTTTGACTTGGTATTTGAGGAATGTGACCTGGTGAGGCTCAGATGCTAAAGAGTGTCAACTAAGTACGTTCTCAAACAGTAGTGGCAATTCTCAAAAGCTAGCCCTTAAATTCTTTTCTATAAGAAGAGTCCCAAAGGCAGATTCTTCAACAGAGGTAAATTGTATAGCACAATAGAGTGACTTTGGAGTTAGACCTGACTTTCATTCTAGTTACAGGACTTAGGGCAATTTAATAGGGCTACATCTCAGTTTCCACATGCTTTAACCATAGTGACGTCACCTTAGAGTTGTGTTAGTAACGGAGCTAGTGCTTGTAATGCAGTTCAGTAAGCACCTGGAGTATAATAGTTGCTGAAAATGGTAGCTAGTATTTTTAATTATTCAGCCTTTTCAAAAAGTCAGACAAAAACTTAAAAGCTAAAAAATAGTATATACATTTGCATATGCAGATTACTGTGTGTTTATCTGAAAGGTTCATTAGTTGAGGTCTGGTTCAGTGCCATGCAGTCTCTCATATCCAACCGTGGAGTGACAGCACATAGCAGAAATGCCACCGTCATCTAGTCGGACTTGCTGATTTCACACATGAAGAAACAGAATCCCAAATTGCTTTGGAGACTTAGTGGGATGAAGATTTAGGGCACAATTTTTGGACTTTTATTGTCTTATGAAGCAGATGAGGAGATAAAATAGGTAGATGGGGAAGGGTATGTGGGACAGAGCTTATAAAGGTCTGACTTGTCTTCTGCCATTGCGTGCGTGTGTGTGTGTGAGAGAGAGACAGAGAGAGAGAGAGAGAGAGAGATTGTTGTTGTGTGTATAATTTCCTGGGGTTTTTTGGTACACATTTAGTGCCTGCTAATTTTCCCCACTTATTAGATTCCAAGATGGGCAGGAAGAATACATTCCCTCCTGGTAAAAAGAGCTCTTGGTGCCTAAGCTTGGACTAGGATACAGTGTAAGGAAGAATAAGTAGGAGTTTTATTGCAAGAAAGTGGGTGCTTGCTGCCAGTGAATGGTTTGAACTCAGAGGGGTAAAGCAAGCCCTGTTCTTCTTTCTGGTGCTTTGATGCTATTGATCTTAGAGTGGGAACTCCTAGGTGTAAATCTTAGATAAGAGTTCTTGCAGAGCTGGAATCACTGAATTTCTTTGACAACTCTTACCTCTTAGCTGGAGTAAGTATCATATAATCCACTTTTCAAAAACATTCTTAAAAGCTATATATAAAACATAGCTGTGATTTTTAAAAATAGTTACAATTTCTAAATGTTAAATCAACAAAAAATGACTTACTGCTTTATTGAGTACATCAATTTTTAAAACAATTAATTTGAAATCCAACTATACAAAAAATGAATTCCGACTTCACTGATTTGGATTTCTCCTTTTTCTCCTTCATTAAAGACCAGGAAGGTTGGTAGTCACTGGGAGTGATAATTTCCCCTAATTTTATGCTATTTTGACTTGCTGATGTAGTTTGATGAGGCTATTCTTTTTTGGGACTTGTATTTTGACATTAGGTTAGTAAACACTTGCTGAAGTTTGTAGGCGGGGGGTTGATGATAATAAGAATGCATTTGCCTGCCCTGGTAAATGGAAAATTCACATCTTCCTATTTGATTTTCTTTTCTAGCTTGTTCGTTTTGGTTTAAGTAACCAGATGGTGGTTGCTTTCAAAGAAGAGAACACTGTTGCTTTTAAGCATTTGTTTTTAAAAGGATATTCTGGCACGGATGAAGATGACTATAGTTGCAGTTTGTATACTCAGGAGGATGCCTATGAGAGCATCTTTTTTGCTATCAATCAGGCAAGTGTTTTGTTGTGAATGACCTACACTTGGAGAAGATGTTGATACTTGTTGTTTTAGCAAAAACAAAATTATACATGAATTAAAATATCTTAATTTAAATTTTGCATAGTGTGCCAAAAAATGTTCATTGCTATTTGTCTAGCTACATTTCCACATGATAGATTTTGCTTATTTAAGTTTTTTCTTAAAGATTTGTATTTTTTTATTTATCCCTTTACACCCACTACTTTTGGGAGATTACCCAAGTTCAAATTGCCAGGAGTAGATTTATAATCTCAGAAGTTTTGGTAAATGAGATACCAAATCTAAGACTCAAGAGTCTCAACTTTGATGTCTTAGCATTAATAAGCCTAGCTGAATCTTGAGAATATAGAGTAGGATATGATATAGTTGTATCTAAGCAGGTATTGAGAAACCAGATTGATAGGCCTGAAGAAAGCATTTAGGGGGAGAGAAATCGTTATTCTTATTTTTTCTTTTCTCATTTATTCAATAAATATTTGGGTGCCTACAATATATGAGGTACTGTTCTAGACACTGAGAATGCATCATGAATAAGATGGACAAAAGCCCTGTCTTATAGAACTTCATTGTAGAGGAGAGAACCAGACAAATGAAAAGAAGTGAAATGTATAGCACTGAATGCTAGCTCCCTGAAAACACCACCAAGAAAACATGTTGATAAGCAAAACTGAGCTTATTGCTTACAGAGGTAAGGGAGATGCTCCCTTGATCATTCTCATTAGTGCCTTGGGTAAAGAGGGCAAAGTCCAAATTCAGATTTTGAAGACTGATGTAGGGTGGATCTTTCAGTGTGAGGGGAGCTCAGTTAGAATTGGGTAAAGATATGATGATGTAATAGTTTTGTATTGGTGGACATAAGAAGGTGAGGGTTTTTGGGGAGAGGGGCATGGTTTCAAAGAGTCTTGGATTTATTAAACTAAATCTTCAAATTGATTATCTGTCTAAATGAGTCATTTTAGATGTTCCTGAAATGAACAATAGAGTTATTTGTAACTTATGTTTCTGAGCAAAAGTTTCCTGGAATAGGGGAGTCTGCGTGGCTCAGTCGGTTAGGTGTCCAACTCTTGATTTCTGCTCAGGTCATGATCTCATCTTAGGGTCCTGAGATCCAGCCCCAGATGGGCTCTGCGATGGGACTCAGAAATGGGCCCTGCTTAAGATTCCACCCCCGCCAAAAAAAGTTTCCTGGAATAATAAAGTCATGAAGGTGGGAGCTAGTAAAGCCCTCTTAACCCTCTCAGTGCAGATAGGCGAATGGTAAAGTCATGTGATGAGAGCTGCTTTAAGTTCATGTAAGCAAAGGCCAGTTGTGTTCATGTGAGCTGTGGGGTATGGATGGCTTGGGTCTTCTGTGGTGTGTCAGAAAGTGATAGATGCTGTGAAATAAAGCAGGGGAGGAGATTGCCAGTGCCTGGTGGAGCCTGTGTGCTGGGGATGGATGTTTGCAACTTGCACCGAATGGTAAGGGAAGGCCTCACTGTAGAGGTAATTTTTGACTCACGATCTGAAGGAGTGAACCTAGCAGATAGATAACACGGGGTTCCAGGCGGGGGAACAGCAAAGGCCCAGGCAGGAATGTGCCTGGCACGCTCCAGGAACCTCCTGGAGGCCCGTGTGGCTTGGGAAGGTGGGGCTTGGAGCCAGGGGACAGAAGTCTGCTGTGAGGTCAGAGCACCTCGGCTTTGGCAGTCAGCGAGGTGGGAGCATCTGTCAGCAGGTTTACTTTAGCTCTGAGTTCTGTGAGGCCGTGTATTTCCTGCCCAACCATGAGAAAATTACCTTGTGGTATTTTACACAGGGGGGTTCTAGTGAGGGATCTCATATAAACAATTTAAAATAGCTAAAAGTGTATTCCATATGCTGTAACTTCTGATGAAACTCTTAAAAGCTAATTTTTTTTTTAACTATTTTTAACAGTATCATCATCTAAAGAACATATCCCTGGGGACCCTTGGTTATGGAGAAAATGAAGACAATACAATTGGCTTAAAAGTCTGTAAGCAGCATTACAAGAAAGGGACCATGTTTCCTTGTAATGAGACACTGAATATTGACAGCGATATTGAAATAGGTAATGCACTGATAATTTCATTATATGCCTTTATCATCTTCTGTGGTAAGAACAAACATCCCCTCATGTGCTGACAACCCAAATGGAACGATGTTGCTTTTGTGACCGCTAACTTAGTTGGAGGCTTGAACACACACCTGCAAAGGGCTTTGCCTCAGGGAACTGCGGGTCTGCTGAGATAGGACTGGGGAGCATTTGTGGAACTTCTTGGTACAACTCAAGATTGTTGGGGGTTGAGGTAAATGGACAGGTGTTTCCTGTTTGTTGAGGTTTTTCCCTCCACGAGGAGGCAATTAGGCTTTTGAAGAAAAAAAAAGTATTTATAAATGAAATAATGTATGTTAAAATGCTGGGTACTCTTGCAATTATATGTTAACTACATTAATGCTCTTCAAAGATGAATTGTGGTTAGTGACTCATTTTCTCTTTGAGGAGATTGCTTAGCAAAAAGTTAACATCTAATCAAGTAGAATTATTTTGTGCCACTGTTAAGAATTTAAAAACACATTATATGTAAGTGCAAAGTGGTTGACTTAAGGCTCCAGGGGTTTTGTCATTCATTCAACAAATCTCTGGTGTAGAACCTATCATGCCCAAGGCACTTCCTGTTTTATGTACTGGGGTTATATACTACCAAGATTAATCAGTCATGACTCCTCAAGAAGCTAACAGTTTAGGAGTGGGGGTCCTAGGAGCAGTTTAAATGTGGAATGGTTTTATTAAGAAGAGAGCATCACAGAGTTCATTTGACCATACTTCCTATAATCCCATCTTAAGACGCTTTGGTAAAACAATCAAAGACACGTCTATAAAATAGAGATTCTGAGTCTGTTTCCACAGGCTGCCTGTTGAGAATCTCTACATGAGTAAATGTGTCCCATGCTCCTGACTCTGAAAGATGCAGCCCATAGGCCAGCACCACCAGGGGCCTCAGGGTGCTTTCAGAAATCATCTAGGTTGTCAGCAGCTTGGTTCTGTGGCCAGCAGCCTTGAAGTGCCCCTTGTCCTCTTAAAAACGTGTGACTTAATTAGATGGATCTTACAACTATTTTCCAGTGATTCTTATGTTGCTTTCCTCAATGGGATTTTTCTTGGAAAATCGATTAAAGAAATGTGGCCCAAGTCAGTGTCAGTGGCTAGGTAGGACAGACAGTGCCAGAGAGCAGGATTTATTACCTGACACCTGGGCAGTGGTGTCCTTGTTCATTTTCCTTCCATCAGAATATGGAATAGTTTTAGAGAAGTTGGTGATTAATTTGACTTTATTTTAAGAAAGACTGCCTTAGCAAGTTAATTGTATTTTTGACTTATGAAATATAACTCGTCCAAGAGAACCCTTTGACATATCTATTCAAAAGATGTAAAGAATATTCTTAGAATGTTTGATACTGGATCTTAGACTTTCTTTTCTCAGATATAGTGCAGGAAGCCTGCACATGATAGGAATAGGAATTGGTGAGGCATCATAGTTTATGTAGGTGAATTAGCAGAAGCTGTTCTAGATTACCTATTCATGAATTTTGCATCATCTTTATTATTAAGAGAGTCATCCTTTGGTGTGCTAAATGCAGAGGTCACCCTCCATGCCCACTTCCTCTGTGGGTCTCTGTTTAGTTGCACAGCTGATTGTGTAGTTCAAGCTAAGGGTTTCCATTAAATCAGGCTGTGGGCATATCATGCCTCTAGACCTATAGCTTTACAATTTAGTCTCACTGGGGGGGGGGTCTGTTATAAATCCTGTTTTTAATAAATGTTGTACAACATTTAGATGGCTATCATTCTAATACAGTAGTGCTTCATTTTCTAGAACAGATTTTGAATTCATGTTCTCCTTTCCACATATTCTCAGCATGAGATGTTACGAGCATTTCATCATTTTCCCTGTTGTTTTAAGAACATGTAAACTCTACCTTCCCTTTATCTCTAAGAGCTTTGTTATTTCATTCGCTGGAATATTCTGCCCTGTAGATGAGATTCTTTGAGGGACGAGGCTGCTCCTCTAATACCAGTTTGTTCTATCTGAGGTTTGATGTTTTACTTAAGGCTTTTGCAATCCTTAAAAAAACCCCAAAACTCAGTTCTTAGGTTTTATTGCCACCGGGTGCTTGGTGGCCTCATTAGCAGTGTCTGTAACCTAAGGTTGGCCAGACTTCAGAGAGTCCTGAATGTGTATTTAGAGAAAGTGTAACTCCATACTTACAATTACAAAACTTGAGTAACCAAATAGGTTTTATAAGGCGAATTTTGTGTAAAGTATAAAATTAACAAATGCTATTATATTTCTCTGAATCTAAGATACCATCAATATTGTTTAAAACTCATCTTTTTTTTTCCAATAGTTTTGGGTTTTTTTAAGATTTTATTTATTTATTTATTTGAAAGAGAGAGAGAGAGCATATGAGAAGGGGGAGGGTCAGAGGGAGAAGCAGACTCCTTGCTGAGCAGGGAGCCTGATGCGGGACTTGATCCCAGGACTCCAGGATCGTGACCTGAGCCGAAGGCAGTCACTTAATCAACTGAGCCACCCAGGTGCCCCTAAAACTCATCTGTTTTAGAGGTATTTAAAAGTGAAAAAAAAAGAAATATCTTAGAATGAGTGAAATATAGAAGAAAGAGACCTGAGACAGTACATGGCACATAGATTTTGAACATGTTCTTTCTCTTTTCAGAATCTAGCACTTACTCAAATCAATTTAAATGTTTTGTTTTCTTTTACTTTGTCTTCAAATGAGGATGTGACAGGTGGAAGGACCTTAAATATCATCAGTTTGGCTTTTACTTTACAGCTGAGGAAACTGGAGTTCAGTCAGGCTAGGTGGTTAAGCCAAGGTCATGGACTGTTTAGTGATGGGAGGTCATTGCTACACCTGGCCCAGTGGGAGAAGACGCTTAAAGAATCGGCCATCAAGTCTAGTAAGATTCTCGAGCACCTCCTGGGTATTAGGCACTGACATTTCCATTTCAAAGGCAGCATGAAGGGGCAACAACAGCCTGGGGCGACAGTCAGCCAGGCTGGCTTCCCCCCTGTTCCATGTCAGGATTCTGTGACCTTGAAAGGCATTCACCATTTCTAGACCTCCTTGGTTTACTGCCAAGATGTTGAGCTACACAATGATGAGACTATTTTTATGTGAGCTCTTGGAATTATTCTTTTATAGTTTACAGCTCATAATTTGTTTTTACTTGAATAAAACCTAAGTTTCTTTTCTCTTTATTTTTTTTTGTTTTGAAAAAGCATCAGACTTAACAGAAAAGTTGCAAAATAGCACAAAGGTTTCCTTGTGTACTCTTCATCTGGATTTTCCCCAAAGGCTAATGTTTTACCACATTTGTTTTATCATTCTTCCAATGTATAAATATTTCTCCTGAAGTGTATGAGAATAAGGTGCAGACATGATGTCTCTTTATCTCTAAATACTTCAATGTGCATTTCCCCCAAACAAGAACATTCTCCTACATAGCCACCATACAGTGCTCAAAAGCACGAAGGAACATGGATACAGTACTGTAATCTACAAACCCTATTCACATTTCACCCATTGTCCTGTTCTTTATAGAAAAAGAAAACTGCCTGACCATACTACCCCCTCCATGGCCCCCTCCCCCATCCCCTGCCACCTCCCCAGTCCAGGATCACATAATGCATTTAGTTATCAGGTCACTTTAATCTCCTTTAATCTGGAGCAAAATAAAATTCCTTAGCCTTTTTTTTTTTTTTCCAATGACCTTGACATTTTAAGAGTAGAATGTTCCTCACTTGGGTTTTTCTGTTTCTTTATGACTTGATTGAGGTTATGCATTGGGGGCAGGAACACCACACAAATGGTACATTATTTCAGGAGGTGCATGATGTCTCTTTGTTCCATTACTGGTGATGTTAGCTGTGATTATGTGGTTAGGGTGGTATCTCCAGGTTCTTCCCTGTCAAGTTACAGGTCTCGTTACAATGAATACGGATTTTGTGGGAAGATATGTTGGAACTTTTAAATGTCCTGCTTCTCAGCACACCTTGTCCCAGCATTTGACTGTTGTCTGAAACAATCCTTCTTGTTGTTTCATTGCCCTAGATTGTGTTCACTTAGACCTCTCCAAGTCCCCTCAGGACTGGAAGAACTCGTCATTCTTCAAACTGGAATTTTATCGGTAAATAAGTTTCTAAGTCTCATTTCTCAGGAGACAGGGATGGGGAAAGCAGAGGAGGATAGTAAGACTATGACAGTTTATACCTTGTAATATTTTTTATTCAGGCTCTTACAAGTTGAAATTTCCTTTCACCTCAAAGGCATTGACCTACAGACGATTCATTCCCGAGAGTTACCGGACTGTTACGTCTTTCAGAACACGGCAAGTGTCTTGTCACACTAAAGCTGGATTTTATTATTTTTCTCTACTCCTGTTGCAGATGCCAAGTGTAAAATTCATCAGCCTATATAGATGTGTCAGATGCAGTTGTGTTTAAAACAGCTTAATGACACTTTCTAGCCTTGTTGGTCCAGAGACCGTTACTTTGGGAAATGACACTTTCTAGCCTTATTGGTCCAGAGACTTCGGAAAATGAAGCAAGCCCTTTCCAACTTTTTAAAACCGGATTCCTGGGCTGGAAAGTGGAATTTTCAAAATTGGCTTTGACCTCTTACTCCCCTAATACATTAGAGAAAAAGTTGATGACAAGTGTCTTAAGTGTCTATGATGTTTTTCCTACTTTCAAAGGAAGGTCTTTGCAACTGTTGTAGCAAATGTTTTCAAACCTCCAGGCAGAAACTGCCCCCCCTCCCCCCATCTGAGGGCCAGTCTGCAAAGGATTAGGTGTTGCTTCTTTTATTTTGGGAGGAGGCACGTGCAGTAGAGGAGAATGTTCACTTCTGTGGGGAGAGTAACCCGCCTTCTTGTTCCATGGGCTTCTGTGCTTTCCCTCTCTCCCTCCCCCGTGTTTATGGAGGGGCAAAACCTAACGCTGAGCTGACAGTTGTGTGTGAGCGCCCTTTGAAACAACTCAGAGGAGTGCCTCTTCAACAACAGTCAATCAGTACGTAATGACACGGCCATACCGCCGGGGTGCAGCAGCCCTCAGGATGCTTATAGCCCAGCAGACGAGCTCGAGCGGAAAACAAGTACACGAAGAAACAGAAGTAATTATAAATCTTTTTTTTTTTTTTTAAAGATTTTATTTATTTGACAGAGAGAGACACAGCGAGAGAGGGAACACAAGCAGGGGGAGTGGGAGAGGGAGAAGCAGGCTTCCCACTGAGCAGGGAGCCCGACGCGGGGCTCGATCCCAGGACCCTGTGATCATGACCTGAGCCGAAGGCAGATGCTTAACGACTGAGCCACCCAGGCGCCCCAGTAATTATAAATCTTGACATGTGGTGAGGAAGAATGTCTCTGGCACAGAAGAGCATGATTAACCTTCCTGGGGTGACCTACATGTTACAAAACACATTACGAAATCCCCCCAAATTCACAGGCAAAGAGCTTGCCAGCTGCATGTGTAGGTGATCTGTAATTAAATCCGTGAGTGCCCGAGCATCTCCTCACATGAGCCACACTCCGTGTAATCCAAGAATATCCCTCTGACCAAACCAGAGGCTTGAGAATTAAACCTGTTGGCCTTGTTTCAGTGCCTATGAACTATGAGGACAACTCCGCTGACCCTGGCTCACTCACGGCCTCATTCTCCCCTAAGAAAGCCCCCCAAATACTTCTCTCAGGCCGTAAGATACTCAGCATATTTCACTTGGAAACAGCATGGCTGAAACATAATGTGGAACGTCGAGGCTGTTTGGAAATCTTAAATTCAGCCTGAAGCCTGGGAGCAGTCTTTGTCACTTCTGAAAGCATTATATGTAGCATTTGAAACAAACAGGAAGATAATTTTTAGCCTAGTAAAGACCTAGAATTTCGTACCTAAAGGACTAAGTTGAAGCAAATGCTTTTACATTCCATTCAGTATAATAAATGAGATCATTGTAATCTCTTGTCAAAGATTGGTGAATCTTGTTTTTGTTCCTGGGACCGGTGAGTTGTTATGCTCTAAGATTTCTCTGAACCCAAATGGGATTCATTAGAACCTCACATATTCGCCCTTTGGATCATATTTTTTCATTAATAATAGAAACTTGTGAAGGAATCATGTGACGAGGACATTTTCATCAGTATAATTATTTTTGAGTCAGCATGCTATTTGGATGCCAGTGAGTGATATTGGAAGCAGAGTTCATCTTGTGTGCCATACTTTCTGCTGGGCAGTAACCTTTCCATACATTTGTGTCTCCAGATTACCTTTGACAATAAAGCTCACAGTGGCAAGATCAAGATCTATTTTGACAGTGATGCTAAAATAGAAGAATGTAAAGACTTAAACATATCTGGATCTAGTAAGTATGTTACCTGCTTGCCCATTATGGATTTTGGATGGTTTTTAACACATTATTTTGGGATTTGGGGTGTTTAAATGGTGATGGGAAGAAAGAGCTCCAAAAAACTCTTGAGCATTCAACTCTGTACAGCATATCCTAAAGCTTTGCCTTTTTGTTCAATTTCGGCAGGTGTTGATTACATACCTCTTAGAAGAGGCAGTATTCCCAGTCCTTAGGAGCACAGTCTCTGGAGCCAGACTGCCTGGGTTTGGGTCTTTGTTCTGTTCACTATGCCTGTGATCTTTTTTTTTTTTTTTAAAGATTTTATTTATTTATTTGACAGAGAGAGATAGCGAGAGCAGTAACACAAGCAGGGGGAATGGGAGAGGGAGAAGCAGGCTTCCTGCCGAGCAGAGAGCCCGACGCGGGACTCGATCCCAGGACCCTGGGATCATGACCTGAGCCGAAGGCAGACGCTTAACGACTGAGCCACCCAGGCGCCCTATGCCTGTGATCTTGGACAAATTACTTAACCTCTCTATTTCTCAGTACCTTTCTCTATAAAATGAGTACCTACCTTTCAGGATGTCGAGTAGTAAATGAATTAGTGTGTCAAGGAAAGCACCGAAAACAAGAGTTGGCACACGGTAATTGCTAGGCACTATGGAAAAAGAAAGAAAATGCCGCAGTGAGAGAGATTGACGTGCTTGTGAAATCTAAGTGGTGGAGGTAGAAAGGGATGCGGATAAAGAAAGCAAATGTAATGTTGGGGTAGAGTGAGAAATAAAATCTAGCAGTAGTTTTTGGAGAATGTATGCTTTGAGCCGAGCCTTTGACAATGGACAGAGATCAAGGCCTCTAAGCTCAGAGAGCAGCCTGTACAAACATTGGGTCGTTTACTCAGTTGTTACTCAGAAAACACCTCTTCATCCAAAGTTTAAAATGGGTTATGCAGAACTTCTCAATGAGGGGGTCGCGATGGTGTTAATAATGGATTGTCAGTACTTTTTTAAAATTTAAATCCAATTAATTAACGTGTATTAATTTCAGAAGTCAGTATTTTTTTTTTAAGATTTATTTATTTATTTGAAAGAGAGGGAGAAAGCATGAGTGAGTGGGGGAAGGGGTAGAGGGCGAGGAAGAGAGAGAGTCTCAGGCAGACTTCCTGCTGACCACCAAGCTGGGCTCGATCCCATGACCCTGAGATCATGACCTGGGTGGAAATCAAGAGCCGGACACCGACCTGACTGAACCACACAGGCGTCCCGGATTGTCAGTATTTTTTAAATTAAAAAAAAAAAAAAAAAAATTTTTTAAATCAGAGAAAGAGTGAGCACAAGCAGGGGGAGCGGCAGGCAGACGGAGAAGTAGACTCTCCACTGAGCAGACAGCCCAGTGTGGGACTTGATCCAGGGACCCCAGGATCATGACCCCAGAGCTGAAGGCAGACGCTTAATGACTGAGCTATCCAGGTGTCCCTTGGCAATGTTTTTTAATTTACAGGTTTTGTTGAAGTGAATTTGCCTTTGACCAGATTATCAGAACCAAATAAAATGTAAAATACCTGTGGTTTTTAACTATTTTAGATTTGTTTTAATCTAGATTTGTGTGTGGCCTGTGGCTGTTCAGTTCTATAATATATCCTAATGATTCTGAAGGTTTGGTGTCAGTATTTCCATTAACCTACTCAAGGCTCTGATCAGCATACACAGTTTTAGTTTCTTTCTGCTTGAAAGTGGTTCCTATTTCCCAGCAGACACACCACCCTCCCACAGAAACACACAGATCACATGTGTATTTGCCAAGCCCGAGTATAGGTTCAGCCATTTAATGTGAGAAAAGCTAACCTTTGTCACAGATGAAATGTGGTTTGGAACAGTCATTCTGACCGAATGAGTTAGTGGGTCAAACGTGTTGCCAAAACCTGGTTTCCTTTCTCCCCACAGGGCTGCTAGGATGTTTTCCTTGCCTGTTCTCAGGAGAGAAGAACTCTGGCTCCCTTCTGTGGCCAGTGAGGAGAAACACAAACCTCACAGACCGCTGAGTAGAAACACTAACATTTATGTTTCTCCCAGACCTGTGTCCTAAGAAACCAGATTCTGTTACTAGGAGAATATGAATTTTAAATGATGTGACGTGAAAACCTTAAAAAGCTGAAGTTTGGACACCAGCTTGGGAAGTGGATCTTTTTTTTTTTTTTTTTTTTCTGTCTATGGAAGCTGTCTGGTTGATTGATTGCTCTGGCTTTGAGGGAAGCGGAAAAAAGGCAAGGGTGACCTCTGGTGGGATCTTTGTGCTATTTCCAGAAAGTTCTGAGGCTCCTTCAAGTCCATACTCTTATCCTGAGGTTTTTCTTTTCCTCTTGTCATTACCTATGTTATCTCAGGAAGAATGATGAGGGATTGTCCATTTTCACATACAAACCTCATGTTGCCTTTTATGACTTCTCATACCTATTCCCCAAGTTTGCCACTAATCTTCACTTTAACTGGATTTTATAAACATAGCAAGTTGGACATGAGGGGCTGAAGGCGGTAAGGACTGGTGGGCAAGATCCCCCACTGATGGGTGATTTCCCAAGTGTCACAGGGAAAGGGGGTTCAGCAAGCAGGGGAAGCCCTGGGTTAGAGTCCCTCAGATGGGCAGTAACAGTGCGTGTGAGACTCCTCAGGACCTCTGGGAGGAGGGATGATATGTAGGACTTCCCTAACCATGTTGACAGGGATCTCTCTGGATTAGTATTTTATAACCAAAGTTTAAGAACTGTTCCCCTGGAGGTAATACAGATTCAGTGGAGTAAGAAAGCAATTGCAACATTCATAAACTACTTTTTGTAGCATACCAGCTAGTCTTCTCAATAGATCAAATTAAAACAGAATATGAGAGAGAGAGAGAGACAAACCAGGAAATGGGCTCTTTTTTTTTTTTTAAGATTTACTTATTTGAGAGAGAGTGGGGGGGGGGAGGGGGCAGAGGAAGGAGAGAGAGTCCTAAGCAGACTCCACACTGAGCGTGGAGCCCAACACAGGGCTCGATCTCAAGACCCTGAGATCATGACCTGAGTTGAAATCAAAATTCGGACAAACCAAGAGTCAGACATTTAACCGACTGTGCCACCCAGGCACTCCAAGAAACAGACTCTTAACTATAGGTGATGGGGATTATGGAGTGCACTTGTCGTGAGGAGCACTGGGTGTTGTATAGAAGTGTTGAATCACTGTATCATACACCTGAAACTAATATTACACAGTATGTTAACTAGAATTAAAAGAAAAAAAAAATAATAAAAAGGTGTCTGAAGCTAATATGACGACAACAACAACAACACCAGAATATTATACTGGTTTCTCTGTTAGGAGGGATGGTTTATCCTTTTAGATATGGGCCTCTATTTCCCCATTTGTAAATAAGACCCAATACAAGTAATCATAGAGGTTTTGTTCTGTTTGTATGTCAGAAAGGAAAGCACTAGATGCTGTCCTTGCATTTCATAAGGTTTTCAGTTCCATCTTCCCAAGAACTGTACCTATTCCCTCTGTCCCATTCCATGGCTCCGATAAGTAGATAGATAGAAAGAAAGGAAGGAAGGAAGAAAGAAAGAAAGAATGTCAGTCTTGGGTTCTGGTTAAGTTGTTTTCTTACCTACCCATCAGATGATATCTCAAGATAACTTAAACTTCATAATTGCAAAATGGCTATAAGTAAGTGTAAATGCTAGGTGCTAGGCGCTGTTCTAACAAGCATTTGACATGGATTATTTCACCAGATTTCCCGACAGCCCATGAATAGGCACAGTTGCTGCCCCTATTTTGTAGTGGAGGCATCTAAAGCTTCGCAAGACTAAGTAATTGGCTCAGGGAATTACATCTACTAGCTGGCTATGCTCGTAACCCACAGGATGAGCTGTTTCGCCCTCAGACCGACCGGCCACTGTTGCTCACGCCCTTACGTTACTGAGTCCATGGACACGTGGTCTTTTTGTTAAAGGCCTTTTTGGCAGAGGTATCGCTGTGGAGTGCTCCACTTTATAATCCCTCCTACGGGCCCTTCCTAGCCCTTGTTTCCCTCTGTGGTCTCTCTCAGTGGCCGTGTCCGCACCCATGGCTTTAACTGCCACTGAGTCGCCCTCTCTTGTCATGAATGTCCAGACTGAGCTCAGTTCACCCAAGACAGAAAACCGAGAGTCGTTCTTGGCTGGACCTTCACGGGTTCTAACTTTTGGGTTATTCAGGGGCCTTCTCATATGCTGAAGGCTCTGCATGCCTCTGTAAGCACACTGAAGCATTAGGAAAGCACAGACACTGTCCTGTTAAGCAAACACATACAGTCCCTGCTTCCGAAAGTCAGGCCTTTCGTGGGGAAGATAGACCTCAGGTGATACCCAGTAGGAGGCACTGGAGATGCTGTTCCAGGGGCTTTCATATATGAACTTGTTTCATCCTCACAACAGCCCTATGATGAAGGGTTTTTTTTCCCCCACCTTTTTTTTTTTTTTGGATGAGGAATCTGAGGCAACTTCCCCAAGGCTCCACAGCTCCTGAGTGCAGAACTGAGATTTAGACCCAGCTCCTTAGGCTCCTGAGACTGTGTCTTTCCTGTTCTGCCCTGTCTCTGTGCCCCTTGCTGTGCCATCTTAGAAGACACGATCACAGGGGCGGTGGCCGGCCATCAAACAGAGAGGGATAAACAGAGCCTTGGGTGTGTATACTTGTGGAGGGTGCTATGAAAGAGTATAAGAGGGGGCTGATACAGATGGGAATGTAGGGAGTTCTCTTCGGAGGAGGAAACTATTTCATCTGAAACCCAAGGCTGAAAAAGAAGAATCTAACTTGCAGGGTAAGAAGGGCCCCCTGCTCCAGGCAGAGGGATCAGCACTTGCAAAGTGCTTGAGGCAAGAGAGCGTTGGGAATGCTACCCTCAGGTCTCAGAGGCGCTGGGGTTCCAGGTGCATCTTCCTTCAGTACATTCCCCCATGCTACTGTGTATTCCACCACAAAAATTTGATTACTACTGTTCTTGCTTCCATTCCAAGAGGCTCTCTGCTCCATGTGCAGAAGCAGCTAATTGGATTGGCACTATTTGCTGGTCAAGTACACAGTAAGGTTGAGAAGCAGAAGTGGGGATTCTGAGGAGCGGTGTTTTATTTTTTATTTTTTTTAAGATTTTATTTATTTATTTGACAAAGAGCGAGCACAAGCAGGGGGAGCGGCAGGCAGAGGGAGAGGGAGAAGCAGGCTCCCCCCTGAGCAAGGGAAGCCCGATGTGGGATTTGATCCCAGGACCCCCGGGACCATGACCCGAGCCGAAGGCAGTCGCTTAACGACTGAGCCACCCAGGCACCCCTGGAGTGGCGTTTAAATTGTTCCTTTATTAATGGAGAACTTGGTGTTTGTGTTTTTATGAAAAAGAACTCAAGACTTTGTCAGTTTTGCCTCTTGAATAGAGCCCATATGGACCACCTTTTGTTGAGTTCTATTCAATAGAAAATATTTTTAGTACATTTAGCAGAGAGTTTATATGTTTTTAAATGTACAACTCATAACATCAGAGAATGTTTTACCCTATTTAAAGACTTCTGAATGAATGCAGTGTGATTTGTTTCTGATGTTTAAGCATTTATCAATAGAACTTCTTCTCAGACTACCATTTTGCTTGGAAATTATTCCCAAGTAATATGAATTTAACATTTGAATTCTGTTTTTGTTCCTCAGTTCAGAAAAATACTCAGTATGTCCTGGTGTTTGATGCGTTTGTCATTGTGATTTGCTTGGCATCTCTTATTCTGTGCACAAGATCCATTGTTCTAGCTCTCAGGTTACGCAAGGTAAGTGTGTGTTCAAATATTCTCCCTCCCTTCCTGGCCTCTGCCCTGTTTGTCCAGACAGTGGACCCTTGATGTTGGGTCATCCTGCCCTTTCTGGAGCTCTCGACTAGATTAGATTCCTTTGAACGATTGTCTCCCTACAAGGCATTAATCAACCTGAGGTGTAGAGGGTGAGTAAAGGCTCCTGGCGTGTCAGGTGGGATCAGATAATTATCCTGCTTGAAACTGAGCTACTAGGCAGAAGTGCACAGCGGTGAACTCTCCAGCTTTTGAGTGTTTCCAGAATAAAGGAGACCCTTTTAAATTCAGGAGTGATCTTAAGAACAGAGTAATGGCATGTGTGGGTTACATCTTTTGTCTTCAAATCAGGGTTCATTTTGACAGGGAGTCATGGTAAATGGGTTATAATGCGGCATCAAATACTTTATTCCGTTTTTAAAAATAGTTTAAAAATTCTCTCTTGAGTTCCATTTTACCTTTTTACCCTCAGAGTTCTTGTGAATACATACTTCAGCTTCCCACAAATCTTATTCTGGTTTGTAGCATGTGAGTAAATGCAGACTGGGGCCAGGGGAAATAGGAAGTCATCCGTTGTGGGCATCATTTGTAGGGCAAGAAAACGGTCTACGTTCTAGTTTTCTTATTCTTGACCTTTGTTGACTTACTTTGTGAATATCCGCTTCTCTTACCTGTCCCCCAAGCCTCTTGATATTCTGAACCCAAGGTCAGGGTCCTGGGTCTGCCAGAATTAGGAACCACCACTGGGAGCACATATTCGGAGCCAGGCTGCCGGGACCCAAATCATGGCCTAGGCTCTCTGTTTCTCAGTTCCCTTTTCTGGAGAAAGGCCTGATTCATGGGGTTATCGGATTGAACGAGTTGATGATAGGTAAAAGATTGGGAGTGTACTGCGTGTTAGCTATTATGACAAGAGTTTCTTGGTGTTAGAACATAAGCCTTTGATGTGTGAGTTAACTCAGCAGGTACTGGAATGGCTTAACTTATAGCTGCAGTAGATTATGGGAGAAAGTGGGGGCCATGATCGCCACCCTTGGAGTGGATCTATCCAGTTGGGAAAGGTAATGCCATTTCACTTTACAGGCAAGAGCGCTGTTTGCACTTGTCTTCTCCTTCCAGAGGGCTGTGTGGTTTGTAAGAAATGCTTTTTAAAATGTTTGCCACAGAGATTTTTGAATTTCTTCCTTGAGAAGTACAAGCGACATGTGTGTAACGCCGACCAGTGGGAGTTCATCAATGGATGGTATGTCCTGGTGATTATCAGCGACCTAATGACAATAATTGGATCCATATTAAAAATGGAAATTAAAGCAAAGGTGAGGGACAACTCATTTTAATCTTCTGTTCTTCCCATTCTTCTGGGTGACCCCAGGCACTTTGAGATGTAAAATCCTTATGGAGACTATCTTGAGTCTCATGTTTTCTCTTTTCTCACATCCATATAACTGAAGCTTCCTATGACTTCATTCCTCATCAAGGGAACATAAGAAAGCCATTGTTCTGTGGAAGATGATATTCCTATGAGTATCCCCCAGGAGACTCAACAGCATCTCCAGAATAGGAACTGAAGTTTGAGAAGATTGGCTGTTTGGGTGGGCTTCATTTTTTTTTTTTTTAAGTTGCAGAAGAAGAAGCTGACCCAAGAACCAATTATATCAAGAACCAGTAGTGACCCTCCAGTCACTTCCTTAGAATCTTGGAGGGGAGTGAGGGCAGGAGTATTGAGTGACCTCCAAGCACCTGATGCTCTCTTGTTGTTATTCGTTGATTTAATCTCATGACTACATCTTGCCTCCTCCTTCATCCGGCTGTTTTCCCCTCTGTGCTGTCAGCCAGCAGGTCTCACCACCTTTGCCTCCTGGCCACTTACCATGCCTCCCTCCTCTCTACACTGACTACTCTGCCTCCCTCAGGCTATCTTGCTCTCTGGCCTGGGTGCTACAACAGTCTCCTCATTGGCTTTCCTGCCTTCCGCCTTATATGCCTCAGATCCATCTTTCGGACTCATTTTTCTCGAAGTATCAAAACGCTCTCTGCCTCACAGGGCCCCCATTGGGATGAAGTGGCTTCCCTTCACCGTGGCCTCTGGGGCTCTCATCCTCTTGCTCTGCTTCCCTCCCTGCCCTAGCTCTCCTGAACCCATCAGGACTCCTCTCTAGGACACCTTGCCTGTCCTTGGCCTTGGGCCTTTGTTCAGCCTTTGTCCCTCGACCGGCAGTGCCCCCTCCCACCCTGTCCTCCGGGCCCAGCTCCATTCTGGAGTCACACCGTGGAAAGCCCTATGTGACAAGCCAGGTGTCGTGGCTCTTGTTGAACTTAGCATACTAAGTTAGAGCTGCGTGTGTGTGTGTGTGTCTCCTCCGTGAGAACTGGAAGGCCTCAAGGGCGGGAACTGGGTGAGCAAATCACGTTGGAGCTTTCTTTCAAAAATAGCTGAGTGGTATTGTTTGGTATTTACCAAGCACCATTACTTTATATTCTTTAATGCCTAGTTCAGTAGTCAAGGCAATTTCTCTTCCAGGATATTGTTTGAACAGAAATTCAGTTCAACCAATTCAAATATGAAGAGGAAATGAGAAATGCATTTGGAATTGGGCTATTTTCTTCTTCAGTTTACAGTTCTTGGTGTCACCTAGAGAAAGGCAGGCAGTCCATTCTTTTGCAAGTCCCTTCTTTGCAATTTAAAGTGAGGTCAATAAGCTGAGTGGAGTGGAATGTTTTACTCACGTCTATTTTTTCATTCCTTAGAATCTCACAAATTACGATCTGTGCAGCATTTTGCTTGGAACGTCTACGCTCTTTGTCTGGGTTGGCGTCATCAGATACCTGGGGTACTTCCAAGCATATAATGTAAGGATGTGGCACTGGGTAGGGCATGAGACTCATTTCTCCGTGGGTCCTAGTAAGCCACTTTTTAATTTCTCTCATTCTGCTGATTTTTATTTCAGGTGCTCATTTTAACGATGCAAGCCTCACTGCCCAAAGTTCTTCGCTTCTGTGCTTGTGCTGGTATGATCTATCTGGGCTACATGTTCTGTGGCTGGATTGTCTTAGGACCATATCATGACAAGGTGTGTAGCACTAATTCTTCCTTCTGCACATTAGGCACTTGGGGCCCTTCCAAGAGGGGCCCCAAACTACCCTCTTCCCACTTTGCTCTAGCATGTACCATCGATGTCAGTAAGACGTATCTTTGCATTGGTTTTCTTTGCCTTTTCAGGATATTGAAGTGACTTCAGGATATTGAAACAAGAACTATAGAACTGTAACTAGAGGATACATTTCCTAGTTGTCTGGGACTGGCTTCAGGGGGCACATACTAACCTAGCCGATCACCAGCTGAGAACTGTTTGGACACGAGATTGCTATATTAAAAATGAAAATTAAATGAGGAGAATTATTCCAATATCCTTCTCACTTAAAGTATTAGGGTTTTCATCCACATTAATTGAGGAGAATGAAGATGGACAAAGACCGCCCAGAAGGACCATCTTAGGTCTATGATTACAATGATAACAGATGTTGTCTTTGCAGGTGGTTTTGATTACACTGTCATCTTAGTGCCTTATTAAAGATCAGTATCTGAATTCTAGACTATCACTGGGCTTTGGTCAGCAGCAGCACCTCAAGGACGTCAAAGTTACATTCAGATGTTCTTGTTTTAAAACGATAAATTTGATTGATAGATGCCTCAGGAAATGAAATTCTGTAGGCCTTGTTTTCAAACCAAAAAAGGTGAAAGGAATTATTGTATCTTATCGTTTTTCTTCCATGGGCCTCTGGCAGTTGGAATAACAGAAACAACACAATGAACAATAATAACAGCTATTACTCGATGCTTGTATGTTAGGTACTATGCTAAGCATGGCTGTCTTCTCTTATTTCATCTCTACAGCCCAGGGGACTGTTATCTTGGCTTAGATTCTCTGTAGAGAGAAAAGAGGTGAACATACAAAGGATGGTGTTGAAGCTTGTAGAACAGCTTAGCCTTAAGTTTTGACCTTGATAGTTGCATTAAACAAAACATGATCAAATCATAGAAAGTGGGCAGTCCACAAGGTTCCACCTTTCTGTGTTCTCATACTAAAATAAATCCTAGTAACTTGACACACAGGCAGGTTTTCTCCCCCGTAAGTGTTACATTTAACATGTCCAAAGAGAACTACTGTTTTCCTATTTGAGCAACTGTATAATTAACAAAGTGACAATCCCTGGGTTAATAGTAAATCTGGATAATCTTATTGCTCTTAAAATTCCATGCCACTGCTTTAAAGGTGACTCATGAGTAAAAATTGTCCTTTGATATAATCTCTCTGATCTGGAGAACTTACTGTCTTAGTACCCAGGAAAATTTCCATTTTTCTTCCTTGCTTGCCTCCTGCTCTGAGTGCTTCTCCACATTTTTGTCACTAGAGGGCAGTGTTGCACTGTGGAATAAATACTGAGCCTGACTTTTATGCTTCAGTTGACTGGCTCCCAGGGCTCAGGATGAGTGCTTCTATCTCCTTTGCCCTCCATCTCCCCTACCCCATCATTATTCTGGAAGGTGATCAGATAATGTTGCTTGAATTTTACTAAGAGAGCTACCATTCTCAAGCATTATCTGCTAATAGACATAGTGCCCAAGTTCTCTACCTCTTGCTATGTCAACCCTCCCAGCAACCCTGTGGGGAAATATTATATTTCTTTTACAGAAAATAGGGCTCTTAATATGTTAGTTTTCCCAAGGTTACACAGCTAGAAAATGGCAGAGATAGGATTCACACCCAGGTTTGTCTGATCCCAATACACATGCTTTGACCAATACCCTGCAGGGGTTTTCTTGGTATTATCTAAAACTGGTTATTACAAAAGAGCATTTAGTTTGATCTATGAGTAGATCAACTGTGAGAGGAGAGCTGTGTAATCAGTCTTATTTCCCTCAGTGTGTCAACCTTGAAGAAAAGGATGTTATTTGTTTTGTGGGTCTGAGTGTGTTTTCATATGTTGGGTTCTGTCCTTTTAAGAATCCAGGCGAGATTGGGATGCTCTGGACAACACTGTCCAGTAAAAATATGAAAGCTACAAATGAGAGCTGCATGTGTCCTTTCACATTTTCTAGTAGCCACATTAAGAAAAGAAACAGATGAAGTGATTTAAATTATATAATTTATATAGATGTAAATTATATATTTGTTAAATCCAATATATCTAAAATATTAATATATTACTTTAGCATGTACTCAATATAAAACATTGAGATAGTCCACATCCCCCCCCTTTTTTTGGTACTTTGAAATCTGGTGTTTTATCCTGATAACGCAGCTCAGTTTGGACTAACTGGTATATATCAGGTGCTCAGTAGTCACATGTAGCTAGTGGCTATCATATTGTACCTTGCACCTCTTGACTTGTAGCTCCCACTAAATGCCAGCCTTCCATTTCTCCCCCAGAGGACCAGAGGGATAAGGGCTGTCTCTAGGGTTGCATGGCAGATGTTTATGGCATCTATCTTTCATCTTTAGCCAGACTGATATATTGGGGAAATGCATAGTCGAATTAATCCAGTGGATGCATTAGTCAATGGAGGGAGAAAACCTTCAGTCTGGTTCTGGACTTCTGTGATTTTCTTCTGTATTTTGCTTTTTCTTCTTCTTCTTTGAATCTGAAGTTTAAAATGTCGACTGCCCCCTGCACCCCTTCCCCTGCAAATTAATCCAAACCGTCAGAATTTGTAGATTCTGTCAGCATCTGTTGCATCAGAAGATCTTTAGAATTGCCTGAAGTCTTGAGAAGCTGGGCACCACGGCAAGCATTTTCTAGGATTTCTAAAGTACAGCAACCTTGGGTGTGGACGCGAACTCTTCCTTTACACGAACAAAGCACTCCAAGAGGAGGTATTGGGAAAACTAGGTCCACACTGCAATTTGATCAGCAGCAGGACTGCCATATTTCAGCTTCCTGTTTTCCTGTCAGACATTGGCTTTCAGTGGTTCAGCTGGAAGGGAGTAAAGGTACCAGTGTCCTGCCAACGTTTATCCCAACACTAAAGGACTTGGGCACGGCGCCCTTTCAAAATGTCTGGGCACAGAGGACTAGAGATTGGTGTTTAATAATTGAAGATGAGATTTGGAAGAACATTATTCTAATGTGGCTCTTCCATTTCCAGAGGACTTCTTCACTGTGAAGAATAAATCAGCCTTACCTTGCCCTCATTTTACAAACGAGAAGTCCAAGCCGTTGAAAAACCGTTGGACTTTGCTGATGGCCCTGGGTAGAAGTTCAGCAGAACCCACGTGACATCCTCATGCTTTTAGGATTTCTCTTTGTAGCCAAGCTCCTTTCTTATTCAAAACAATGGTTAGCCAGTTAAAATATTTCACCTGAATGTTGCATGAGGTTCTCAGTACCAGCTCTTGAAGCAAATTTTTATGTCATTCTCCCTAATAAGCCACTGTAGGTTATGTGTTCATCCAAATGAAAGTTCTTTGTGGCTCAATCACAAAGTGATTGTTTGTGGAACAAATACTCGAATTCTCACTCTGGTCCCATAGAACCTAGGGGGACTCTTTATGGAAGTAACCAGTTAATGTTTACGAAGTGTACACCAAATCTTGTCAGGTTCTTCTAGATTGAGTTCTTCAAGGACAGTGACTATGGCTCCTTGCTCTTTGCATTCCCCATGTCCAGCATGGTGTGTAGAACGTGGTAGAGGCTCAGCAAGTTTTTTAATGAACAAAAAACAGAGAGACAGTAGCACCCACTTTTTAGGGGCTTACAACCTCATAAGAACCATAGCAATTCCCTATAAATGTAGTCCTTTTAGACCAGAAGCCCATGAGAATCTTCTTCCTCTTACCTTGGGTATTATTAAAGTTCACTTCTACTATGGATTGTGTGGTTCACAGCCACTTCTTGAGGTACAAAATGGCAGGCTGTGTACCACTTATTCTATTGGGTCTCTTTTAAATTTCTGGTGGGTTAAAATAAATCTCATGTGCATAGAGGAGAGGGAAGTATAATGGTTGTGAATAACATTAACATTGAGGCAGGTATTACATCTAGGATGATCCTAAGTAACTGCACAAGAGACTAAGGAATGAATTTGATATGTACTTACCAACTGGTTATTTGCACTTTTGGAACCCGAAGGACAGACTGTTATGGGTTCTTGAAACTCAAGAAAGGACTTGACCAGATTCCAAAAGAATTATTAATGGTGCTGGCAGAGTTTTAATTCATGTCCATAGAAACCAGCTTTGATTTTATTGTCTTAAGGCTGATAGGGATGGAAAATAGTTACTCTGAGAACTGCCTGTCTTACTGTTAAATAATCTGCATATTGTTAAGGGATTTGCTCAAATGGATATTCCCTCCAGATCTCTGTGGAGACCAACTTCAGAGTTTTTCAGAGTTGTTGCTGATGTGCTAAAGGCATATGGGCATGATCTCTGTTTGGGCTACATTTGTGTCCTTGTTTACAGGCTTTACCCTGGGGATTCAGTCACGGAGCAAGGAGGACGTGGTGTGTGTGATCTAGTTGGGGTATGGAGAAGTATATAAACCAACTAGAAGACAAACTAGTGGTTTCCTTGGTGGTTCTTACTGATGCAGAGAACAGGGGAGGGACTAGAGCCGCCAGGGCAGTCTGGCTTGAAGTAGATGTTGAGGTAGCCCTTCAACATTGGCTTAATGGGACACAGGGATGGGGAGGGAGAAGAGGAGGGGGAGGAGGACATCCCATCAGGTGAAGAGAACCCATCCATGAGGAAAAGAGAAAGAAGTGGGCCTGGTGTGTGGGCGCAGACAGGCCCAGGATGCTGATACTGACAATGAGGAGAGGGGAAGAAGCCAAGTGAAGAGGAAATTTATCCCAGCCTTCTTGGTTGGGATGTTCACTTTGCATCCTAACTTTGTACATCCTTAAGCAAGAGAAATGACCTGAAGGCTATATTCTATGAGGTTTAGATTTTCCTGAAGTGTGGACTGCAGGATGAAGAGGTTGGAGTAAAGACTCGCTTGGAGGTTTCCATAATAATCTGGGTGTAAGTGCTGACATCGGAGCGGTTCAGAAAAACATCCTAGGAGCCGACAGACCTTAGAAGATTGAAGACAGGGGAAGACTAATCAATTCGACACACAGTTTTAAGTACTTGATTATTTTGGTATATGTGCTGCCGAAGCGAGCACAGTACTTGATTATTTCGGAGTAAATGGGTTTTTTTTTTTTTTTTTTTTTTTTTTGATAGGAGACTGAAGTCACTGACAGCAATAGGGAATTTGGAGGGAAAGGCCAGTTTCCGGGTCAGGGGGTGGGAGGTTTTGCCTTGTGACATGTGAAATAGTACCACGACCTCTGAGTGGAGGCACCCCGTAGGCGTTCATCAGGGATGGGGCTATCCCCAGAGCCACATGGACTCCGTGGACATGTGCGCCTTGTGCTCGGGACAGAATCGGGTTCAAAACTCTACACTAATGTGGCCCATCTGTGTTTGAAAACTGCATTGTCTTTTGCCTCTTAGGTCATTATTGTTCCTTAGATAGAAGATTTTACATTCCACTAATGTTTAACCCTCTGGCCCTGGAGAGGTCCCTTTATTAAGCACCTGCTGTTTGTTGTTAGTTGCCGTGGCAATAGTTTGTCAACCACTTCAAGCCAGGACGGCTGCCTGTGGGGTTCCAGTGGGATCCCCACTGCGCACACTCAGCTCCTGAACCTCCCACTAACTGCCACGCAGCAGCATTTCTCCTGGCACCTCAGACTTGCCTCACCGAAAACGGAGTCCCCTAGGTGTCTGTCCCTTCCCAGACTTATGTTCATCTCCACTTCCTTCTCCTCCTCCTCCCAGTCTCTCCAGGATTCCTTGCAACCCCAGCCTCCTGCACTCCCTTCTCCCTGGCCTCCCTGTCCCTAGGCTTTGCTCATTCTAGATCTTCCGAGTGCCATGGTTCCCTTTAACATAAAACAGATCAGATCCTGTCACTGCAGCATGAAGCATTTTCCCGGTTTCGAGTGATGGTCTGTATTAGTCTGAAGTGTGGAGATGACCACAGGGGCCCTTTGGCACCTCCTAGACGCGCCCCCTTCAGCATGGCATAGACACACCTCTGCAGCCACTGCTTCCCAGGCTGAGAGCCCTATTTCTCCTGTGTTCACCGAGTAACCCCCCCCTTTCTCCTCTCACTGGGGAACCACTCAGCCTTCGGGCCCCAGTTCTTTTTTTTTTTTCCTTTTCTTTTTAAATTTTATTTTATTATGTTATGTTAGTCACCATACAATCCATCATTAGTTTTTGATGTAGTGTTCCATGATTCATTGTTTGCGTATAACACCCAGTGCTCCATGCAGTACGTGCCCTCTTTAATACCCATCACCAGGCTAACCCATCCCCCCACCCCCCTCCCCTCTAGAACCCTCAGTTTGTTTCTCAGAGGCCATAGTCTCTCATGGTTTGTCTCCCCCTCCGCTTTCCCTTCCTTCATTTTTCCCTTCCTTCTCCTAATGTCCTCCATGCTATTCCGTATGTTCCACAAATAGTGAAACCATATGATAATTGACTTTCTCCGCTTGACTTATTTCACTTAGCATAATCTCCTCCAGTCCCATCCATGTTGGTGCAGAAGTTGGGTATTCATCCTTTCTGATGGCTGAGGAATATTCCATTGTATATATGGACCACATCTTCTTTATCCATTCATCTGTTGAAGGGCATCTCGGCTCTTTCCACAGTTTGGCTATTGTGGACATTGCTGCTATGAGCATTGGGGTGCATATGGCCCTTCTTTTCACTACATCTGTGTCTTTGGGCCACTTTCCTTCCACAGTGCACCCTAGCCCTCCCACAGGGTGTTCTGTGTCTAGGTTATGGCATGTCCACTGTCAGCACGGGAGCCCCTCGAAGGTATGAGCCATGATCCTTCATCTTTTGACACTTCCCCAGCCTTGGAAATCTTTAGTTTTTAATGTGCGGTTGGAGAGGCTAAGGTAAAACCCTCCATGTAGCAACACTTTCTTGAGCCTGGGCTATGTCTCAGCCGTTTCCCTCTCTGCTGGTTGTAAAACACAGCAGCTGCTGTTCTTTCAGAAAGCGGTCTGGCAGATTAGGCCCAGTAACAGGAAAAACACTGTGCTGAGAAATGTTTATTACATTGTCTTTTATTATTGCGAACATTATCGGGATTCTAGCCAAAGGGAAATAGTTAAATCTGACATCCAAGGAATGAGCTGTTAATCAAAAAAAAGAAAAAAAGGCTTTCTAAGTGTGAGTAACATAAGACAATGTTCAGTAGAAAAAAAAATCAGGATCCTAAATTGTTAGATGATATGACCACAAATATACACAAAGTGTAAAGGAAAAAAACTGAGGAAAATATTGAGAGATTATCTTTGTAAGCATGGAGGAGAGTGTTTTTTTTTTTTTTTTTTAAGATTTATTTATTTATTAGAGAGAGTGTGCACAGGGGGAGGGGCAGAGGGAGAGGGAGACAAGCAAACTCCCCACTGAGCACAGTGCCTGACAAGGGGCTTGATGCCAGGACCCAGCGATCAAGACCTGAGCCAAAATCAAGAGTCAGACACTTAACAGAATGAGCCACCCAGGCGCCCCAAGGAGAGTTTTGGATAATGTTTTCTTATTGTGATATATTCTAGATGTTTTATTTATTTATTTTTTAAGATTTTATTTATTTATTTGAGAGAAAGTGAGAGAGAGAACGGGTGGTGGGGGGGAGACAGAAGGAGAGGGAGAGGCAGACTCCCTGCTGAGCAGGGAACCTGATGCGGGGCCCCGGGGCTCGATCCCAGGACCCTGAGATCATGACCTGAGCCAAAGGCAGACGCTTAACCGACGGAGCCAGCCAGGCGCCCCGGTGGTGAGCATGGGGCTCACTGACCAGGGGGGGAGTCTACTTGTCCCTCTGCCCCTCCCCACCTGCTCATGCTCTCTCTCTCTCTCAAACAAATAAATAAAATCTTAAAAAAAAATAAAATGACTGTTATTTAATAATAGTGACGACGACAACAACAAAATATGTTAACTAGATACTTCTCTGCTTTTTTGGATCATACCTCTTAAAAACTAATTTTGGTTTCTCCCCTACAGTTTGAAGATCTGAACACAGTTGCTGAGTGTCTGTTTTCTCTAGTCAATGGCGATGACATGTTTGCAACCTTTGCTCACATCCAGCAGAAGAGCGTCTTGGTGTGGCTGTTCAGTCGTCTGTACTTATACTCCTTCATCAGTCTTTTCATATATATGATCCTCAGCCTGTTCATTGCCCTGATTACAGACTCCTATGACACCATTAAGGTAAGTCATATTTCCTGCCGAAGAGCAACCACCAATTCTGTATGGATTGGAACATAGGAAAATACTATGCCTTTTTACTTAAAGTAGTACAATTTTACCTTGATTTCAAAGTTTTTTTTTTTAGAAAAGAAACTTTGTAGGTGCTGGTGGTGAATTTTCTTTTTTTTTTTTTTAAGATTTTATTTATTTATTTGACAGAGAGAGCGAGAGCAGGAACACAAGCAGGGGGAGTGGGAGAGGGAGAAGCAGGCTTCCCGAGGAGCAGGAAGCCCGATGTGGGGACTCGATCCCAGGACCCTGGGATCATGACCTGAGCCGAAGGCAGACGCTCAACGACTGAGCCACCCAGGCGCCCTGGTGGTGAATTTTAAATGTGCATTCAGGGCATTGTCCCTGTCATCCAGACCGCGGTGGACTGGTCTGGAAGTGCGTTGGAAGAGAGAAAGGACGTGGGTCCGGATGGGCTGCGCATGGTTAGTCAGTCTGCACAGTGGCAGCTGTAACTGCCCGTCTTGGGACTTAAGCTGTGACTAGTAAGCTTCAGCGATAAGGGGTGTCTCTGCCACCTTGACAGCCTGACCAGGCACGGCACACCCGTACACGACAGCCATTTGCGTGGTGCAGGTTTCCTTGAAATGGTGAGAGCAAAGGTTTTGGTGGCTGCCTCGCTTCCTGCCTCCCTCAGCCACCCCATGGATCCTGGATCCTTTCAGGCCGGACCTGTTGAACTGTGTGGTAGCTCGATGGAAGCTCTGTGCCGCCTCATGCGGTGGCATCTCCGCAGCAGATGGCCGTGCATGGAAAACCCTGTTTCGGAGCCAGTGTCGGAACAGCCAGAGGTGTTATGTCAGTGCCTTGGGCTTTTGTCTTCTTCATAAGCCCTTCTCAGACTAATTCAGAAGACCATCCACTGAGGGGCACCTGGGTGGCTCAGACGGTTAAGCATCTGCCTTCGGCTCAGGTCATGATCCCGGGGTCCTGGGATCGAGCCCCACATCGGGCTCCTTGCTCATCAGGGAGCCCGCTTCTCCCTCTCCCTCTGCCTGCCATTCCCCCTGCTTGTGCTCTCTCTTACTCTCTCTCTGACAATTAGTAAAATCTTAAAAAAAAAAAAAAAAAAGAAGAAGAAGAAGAAGACTACCATCCATTGGAAATGCCCCTGAGTGCTTTGTTTGGCCGTGGAGATGAGTGCTCACGTGGGGATGGGCGGTTGGCTCTAGTAGCAGGGCTGGGCATGGAGATAGGAGTCGCACACTCCTGCCCTGGGGGTTCCTCTCTTTGAGGAGGCAGTGGCCCTGGGAGTGGGCCAAGCCTCGGTGACCTCAGTAAACATGGGGTGAGCAGGGTCTCAGGGTCTTTGTGTCTATCGAGAAGAACTTGCTGCCTTCTGCCCCACTAAGTGACCAACTTCTATAAAAGTAGAGGAAATAGGGCTTACTGCCCTGTAGACTCTACATTGGCAGTGAGGGTAAGGGGAGATCTTATCTGGTCTTTTTTTTTTTTTTTTAAAGATTTTATTTATTTATTTGAAGAGAGAGACACAGCGAGAGAGGGAACAGAAGCAGCGGGAGTGGCAGAGGGAGAAGCAGGCTTCCCGCAGAGCAGGGAGCCCGATGCGGGGCTCGATCCCAGGACCCTGGGATCATGACCTGAGCCGAAGGCAGACGCTTAACGACTGAGCCACCCAGGCGCCCCCTTATCTGGTCTTATAATTAGGATTAAAATTTTAGACTTTTGACTATTTCCTTCACTCCCCTTATTAATACACCCCTCCCCTGCCCAGCCATGGCTTTCTTTCTGGGATTTTTGGTTTGTTTTTGTTCTCATGGTGGCCCTGGCTTGGCTTTCTGGGACTGACAGATTGATGCATCACTGTTAATATCAGTTTTTGCATCTGACCTAGCAATGTGGGAGAGTTTTATTTTAGCAAAGGTGGGTGTGATGTGTTGACAAAGGGAGCAGTTTCTCATGTTCTATAAATAAGGTAACAACATTGTGTACTTTTTACAGAAATACCAACAGAATGGGTTTCCTGAAACGGATCTTCAGGAATTCCTGAAGGAATGTAGTAGCAAAGAGAAGTATCAGAAAGAGTCCTCAGCCTTCTTGTCGTGCGTCTGCTGCCTGAGGAGGTCAGTACTGTGTTTAAGCAGGTCTCCATGCTCCTAAGGTGAGCTTCTCCGTGGCCTTAACAAAGAATTCTTCCAAGGTTTACTCTACACTCAGAAATCAGCTTGTTGTGGGAAATAATTTGTCTTTCATTTTCTTTCCTCCCACTGAAACTGGCTTCAGAAATGAATTGTTTCTTCTAAAACAGGGTAGAAAGCTACATGACATGGTTGAAATCTCTTGGGAATACATGAGTTATGTCCCTAAAGTCAAGAAGGTGAATTCTGAGGTGGCCAAGTAAGAGGTCAAAACACTTATTTTTAGAGGTGGACCTCTGGGAATTTCAAAGGCCTTTTCCCTTGCTGCAATATTTGGTACCAATAACCTTTCTTGAGCAGAGTAGGAAACCTCCTTGAGAGGAGGCTGTGCATAACCGTGGCTGGGAACACACATCAGAAGCTCTGCCTTGACCAACGGCACTTTGCTCATGTTCAGCCGGACACTTATGCAAATGGTCTGCACCTCAGTGGCAACACATCCACATGGTGTTTTGGGGACTAGAATGGAGGTCAGATGAGGATACTTTTCTTAATTGTACCCTTATTTGTTTTCATGTGAAGTCAGAGGTGGGGTGTTAACTAAAAATATCCCCTACCCATGTTTTTCGAGAAGAATTCTCTAAACCAAATTCCTGAAGGAAGATGGAAGAACATAATTGCTACTTAAAACCACAGGATGTATTTTCTGTTAATCAATTCATACCACATCTTGGGATTTTGAAATGATATGATTGAGCATTTCCAAAGAATGGCTGGTAAATATGAAATGAGGTCTTCTGAGAAAAGTGAAGTTTCTAAAAATCACATTTCTTCCTCTTAGAGCATTAAATTATTGACATAGGAGCTGGGATAAGGAGAAATTAATTTTCCTAATAGGCAGCTGCTTCCTAAGAGGCACCTTGTATAAGGAAAAGTCTCACAAAGTTGCTTTTTCTGATGTGTATTTAACTGTAAAGAAAAAATGTTCATCAGAGGATATAATTGTGAATTCTGGAAAGTAACCAATCAGTCTTAGGTGTTTGGTTTTTGGAACTTGGTGTGCATCACAAAAAGCCACAGGAGGCGGTTAAATGTTTTCTAGAGCAGCCATATGGAACGAGTAGAAGGTTTAAGGGGTGGACGGGAAAAGTTCTTGATCAGATTGGGTCTGAGAGCTGAGAAGAATTGGCAGCATCAGCAGACTGTCCACTGTATGGTGTGCTAGGGGCCGTCGAGAAGATGCTGGTTCAGGGGGAGCTCTGCTCGTCATGATGAATGAAAGAATTAAATGGAATGAGGGAGTCTATCAAGGAAGTCAACTGAAGAACTAAAATGTTGAAAGTTTTGAACAAAGGGATATCAAAAATAAAAACAGTAGTGTCTGTTCCCAAAGATGGTTATGGGTGAAATCAGCTGGAGCAGTTTGAGTTGAATCATCAGATCAAGGCCTGGATCCCGGGCAGATTTGGATGGACCCTGCCGAGAGTAAGTGAAGATCATGGGACTGATGCAGGAAATGGATTGTACTGAGAATAAATGATGGCTTTGACTCCATCAAAACCTCAGTACACCTGAATGTGTTTAAAGGCTACGAAGCTACGAATGGTTTAATTGAGGAAGGCCATAAATGGAGAGTAAATATTGGAGCAGGACCTCACTGAGGGAATCTGGGGAGGGAGGGCGGCACAAATGTTGGTGTCTGGGGCCCCTGGCTGGTGCCCGTGACTAACAGCCTCAACTATCACAGCTCTGTCTCCTGCAGAGCAAGATGAAGGTCATTCTTTTTTAATCAAGCAGTCCAGCAACCACCACAGACTGATTCCCCTTCAAATTATTGCCAGAGCCTCTAGCCTGATCATCAGAACACCTGGGTTTCTGTTTTGGACCCTACCGGTTACTGAGTGTGTTCCCTGACCTCTCCTTAACCTCCTGGTCTTTCCAGTGCCACCAGGCTGCAACATGACCTCTGAAACCTCTTCCAGTTCTAATGTGATGTGATTCTTTGGAAAAATCTACTGAGTTGGACAGATGCAGAGTTAACCTTTCCCCTTTCTCCACTGCAGCGAAGGGGAAAATCTGTTGTAGCCATCGAGTGAGGCTTTGTCAATATAGGGAGATGCAGGGTCCCAGGACAGGGACAGCTCTTCAGAATTGCCAAAGGCATCTGCTCAAACCAAAAATAATGTGCACTGTCCTTCTTAACCTTTCTTCCTCTTACACGTGGCATTCAGCAGGTCTAGAACCTATACATGCCTAGAACGTTAAGTATTCTTATTCCAGCTCCAAGATTTTGAAATCATTGTTTTCTCTTTCTCCCTCCCCCTTTCTGATACAGGAGGGGAAGTGATGACCACTTGATACTTGTCAACTAAAGTCCTTCTGCTAAAGATAATCAAGTCTCAGGCCTTTCTACCCAGTGACAGTGCAGAGGGACCCCCAACAGCTTGGAGCAGGACTTCCAAAAATACTGACTTATTACTGGTGGAGCAGGAAAGAGGACTGTCAGCTGGTTGAACACAACTGAAGTTCCAAAGTTCCTTTTATAAACTTGGATGGGATGAAGCATAGACTACAGTCAACTACTGGGCATGAGTGCAATAGAGCAGAGATAATGACATTCTGCACGGGACTTTAATTGATGACATCACAGTGTGGGGCTGGAAAAAAATATCATATTTCAGAGCGTGCAAAAACAATGGCACTTAAAGCCATGCAATGAAAGATGCGTGTTTATCATCCACTAGGTGTTTGTTTTAAAAGTGATTCTTGGGGGCGCCTGGGTGGCTCAGTTGGTTAAGCGACTGCCTTCGGCTCAGGTCATGATCCTGGAGTCCCGGGATCAAGTCCCGCATCGGGCTCCCTGCTCGGCGGGGAGTCTGCTTCTCCCTCTGACCCTCTTCCCTCTCGTGCTCTCTCTCATTCTCTCTCAGATAAATAAATAAAAATCTTAAAAAAAAAAAAAAAATTCCAGGTCTCTTGCTGCAGCAACCGAGTGGGAGCACCAGGCGCCGGCTCGGAGCGGAACTCCACGGATCACTTTAAGAAATGGCAAACAAGCCGGACATGGGGGAAATCGCCAGCTTCGATGAGGCCAAGCTGAAGAAAACGGAGACCAGGAGAAGAACACCCTGCCGACCAAAGAGACCACTGAACAGGAGAAGCAGAGTGAAATTTCCTAAGAACCGAAAGGATTCCCCACCCCCGTCATCTTCGAGACACCCCAGTCGGGATGTGGAGGAAGAAGAGCCACCTGCAAGATGGACACGAGCGACAAGCTGCACTGTGAACCCGGGCACTCCGTGCCGGCGCCACCGGCCTGCGGGTCTCTGAGGGGACCCCCCCATCGGACTGCCAAATTCTCCGGTTTGCCCTGGGATATTATAGCAAATTATTTGTATGTTTAATGAAAATAAAACACACCTCGTGGCAAAAAAAAAAAAAAATTAAAAAAAAATAAATTAAAAATTCCAAGTTGGAGAACCATTAAGCCTTTTATTTATTTTTTTTTTAAAGATTTTATTTATTTATTTTTAGAGAGAGAGAGAACACATGAGAGGGGGGAGGGTCAGAGGGAGAGGCAGACTCCCTGCCGAGCAGGGAGCCCGATGCGGGACTCGATCCCGGGACTCCAGGATCATGACCTGAGTCGAAGGTAGTCGCTTAACCAACTGAGCCACCCAGGCACCCCCATTAAGCCTTTTAAAGAACACACTTACATCAACAAAAAGACCTCTTGTAGTGGACATTTCTAGGCCTGTTTGTATGTGTGTGTGTGTTTCAGCATGACAGGAAGCAACTGTTGGCATTGTCAGTGGGATAAATTGGAAAGAGAGTCATTTGGACACCTTGTCACTTGTGCTAATTGTTGATTGTACACATGACATGTGGAAGTGAACTATAACAGTGCTCACTCATTTTAACAGTTGAACTCTACTATGGTGGTGATTTGCCCTTGTCAAGCAAGGAAAGATGGTATTTTTTTCCCAAATAAATTTATTTTATCACAACAAATGGAGCTACTGCTTTTTTTTTTTTAATGTGGTATTTCTTAATATCTACCTAGTGCAAAATTCAGATCACATCTCTTTTAACTATCTGGTCTCCAAAAAGGATTTCTCACTTTCTTAAAGGCAGTGAAGGAGGGGTTAGTATATAGAAGTTATTCAATAAATATTTATGATAATGACTTGAGATTAAGATCACTTCATGCATCGATTTATCTCATACTTGTGCTATCTTTTAGGGCTCAACTATTTTAAATTTATTAGTGAAGAACAGAATTTGAATTAAGCAGGACCCTCATCCCAAGCCTCTCTCTTTTTTCCCTGCCCCTCCTGGCCAAGCTCCTATCAGATTTACTTTCTCATACCCCTCCCTTTGCCCCCCCTTCACCAAATCTAGGCCAGGAAAATCATTCACTTAATATCATTAAAATAAGTGAGTGACTCATGTCTACACACAGAATACTTTGCCAAAATGATCATTTTAGTTAAATTTTTTTTTAAAAAAGATTTATTTATTTGAGAGAGAGCATGAACGGGGTGGGGTAGGGGCAGAGGGAGGGGAAGAAGCAGACTCCACACTGAGCAGGGAGCCCAACTTGGGGCTCGATCCTAGGACCCCGAGACCACGACCTGAGCCGAAGGCAGACGCTTAAATAACTGAGCCACCCGGGCGCCCCATTTTAGTTAACTTCTTACCAAAAAATGTCAAGGGTTACTTTCAACTTTTAAACTAATGACCATTTAACTGGTGGTTCTAGGGTCATTCCCAAGACTCCAGAATCAGGTATGCAGTTAGATCACTCGCTCACTTCTGAGTGTACCCCCAGTATTTAGCTTGTCTCTGAATAGAAGTGCTATTAAAGCCTTTCTGTAATCTGCAGCAATGACTGCCATTTGAATAGAAGATGAATGATGGTCTTCCATGCTTGTGTTTTTCTTTTATTGGCTTTCATGTTTCCTTTTATTTCTTTTCCCTCCAGCCGAACAAAACCCTTTCAGGAAGAAAAATCTTTTTCAAGGTGACCCTCTCTCCATGGAAGCCTTGTTTTCTCTCTTTTTAATAATTTTAAACAATTATCACTTTACCAAATGTATTATCTGTTTGGATTTTATTGAACAATGTTGCTCACAGAGCTCTGCTAATAGACACATCTGGGACAAACCATTTTTTCTCCCACCTAGGCCTCCACTTGGAAAGTTCACCCTGGAAGGTGGGAGACGTGTTCTGTCTGGTTCTGCTGGTTTCATCCTGGGATCTCCATCTCTTGACAATGTACATTGTTGGCTTGCAGGGACTCCCTCACAGCTGGACGCAACCCCCTTGAGCTTGTTGACCTGGGGCAGGAGGAAAGGGCACAGGTGTGGGAGCCATCTGGACTGACTTGAGTGAAAGTCCAAGTCTCCCCTGGAGCTTTGTGGCCCTGGGCACATTACTCTCTGCTTCTAAATGATGACGATAAACTTCAACGGACTGTGGGACTCGCATGTGAGTCAGAGAACTCAGACAAACCCGGCATTGAAATCGAAACCTGAACCATTCTTTCCTTTTGATTTTTCTGCCATGTTTTTAAGTAGGTTCCATGGGACCAGGCAATAGTGAAGACATTAGATGTTTAGTCTGCATCCCTTCTTCCTACTGAGTCTCCTTGGACAGATCCCACAGGGCCTCAGTTTCCTCTTCTGTACAATGGGGACTGTGAGGATTAAATGAGTCAAACATGAAGTGCCTTGAACTGGGCATGACTCCTGAGTGCATGGTGAATGTTGTATCTTCGAGATGATTTTCTTTTTTCTTTCTTTTTTTTTTTAATATTTTATTTATTTATTTGACAGAGAGAGACACAGCGAGAGAGGGAACACAAGCAGGGGGAGTGGGAGAGGGAGAAGCAGGCCTCCCGCGGAGCAGGGAGCCCGATGCGGGGCTCGATCCCAGGACCCTGAGATCACGACCTGAGCCGAAGGCAGATGCTTAACGACTGAGCCACCCAGGCGCCCCGAAGATTTTCTATCATAGTCTACAAATGTGCAGATCTATTCACCTCGGCTGGCCAGGAAGATCTTTATTTTGTTGTGAACTCACCACACACTTTTGGTGGACTATGTTCCAGTTAGGACTTTAAGTGTGTAAATACCCCACATCCAGTCCTGTGTAACAGTAGTGGGAGGGCAGCCTGGCTCAGGGGAGGCCTAGGCTCAGCATCTCAGGGTTAGAAAGAGCACAGCAGGCCAGCCTTTTACTCTAGGGACACACAGCCAGTCACCCTGCAATGCCCGAGGGCCCCCTGTAGAAGTGGCCCAGCGCTCTCACCGACGGGCAGGGGCCCTGGAGTCACTGGGGGAGTATGCTCGGTGAACTGCTGCTGTGGTCTTGACCATGGATTGCTCCTGCCACTACAAAGATCCATGCTGTGTAAAGATAATGAGTCCCGTCATCTGAAGGATTCCCCTGTAGCCGCCACTTATCTCGGTAACTTTGGGTAACTAGATCGTGCTTTATTATTAACCATTTCCACGTAACTCGAGCAAATTTAATTTTGCTACTCCTCACTTCAAGTTTGAACATCTCAGCCATAACGTTAGCTGAGTCTCTCTACCAAATCCAGAAGTTCGCACTGCTTGTGAGACACACAGGAGCAGCTCTTGTGGGACCGAGGGACTGAGAGCCCCCCAGATGAACCCCTGAGCACGGTGCTCAGATCTGAGGCACTCGAGGAGGGACTCGAGGAGCTCTGGGCACCAGAGAGGAAAGGTCCTGCACCGAGCTGGAGCCAGTGCCGAACACCTCTGCTTTTTGGCCCCTTCCGTCTGAGATGCTTGATATCGATGCTGTGCAGGTTTGTGGCCATGTGACCTGTGCATTCCCAAAGGACCCCACACGGTGTTTCATGCTTTGCCCTCACAGCCTTGCAATTCTTAATATTTTCTGAACAAGAGGCCCCACAAGTCACCTAGCAAATTCTCATGATAGGACAGTGTAACTCAGTGACGACCTCAGCGATTAAAGCATGGCCCTTCAGGAAAAAGCTAGGAAGGAACCCAGCATTGTACTTTACCTTTAAACCAATTGAAATTTAATGAAAGGAAAGAGTGAACCTGAGTGCATCGGCAGGTTGGATGCTGGGCGGCTCACCTTTCCCCCCATGCCTCATTTTCTTACTTTCTGTTCCATGCGTTTCCCTTGACAGAGAGGCAGCTGAGGGCAGTTCGCCGAGGTTACCATATGACCTCCGACCTGGCTCAAGAAAGGCTTGTGGGACCTGTTCCACCGGATGGTCAGATGCTCTCTCCAAGCTCTTTGCAGCCATCTCCCATTAGAATGAAGGGCCTGTCTTGAATGGGGAGATGTAGGATTGTTCAATATGCCATGTTTTGGAGAAAAGGACATATTAGCCCTGGGAAGATATCAAGATGAACCAAATCCCAAAATAGACATTCAAGTTGTTAGGGAAAACAATACAACTCATGGCCATCCTACCATGGGCTCATTTACAGCAAATGCTGTGGCAAACCAGTGGGTGGAAATGGTGACAAGTGTCTCTCCTGCCATCTGTCTTTGCCAGAGAACCGGGGAGTGAATGAGAAGCTGAATGAGTCACATACAACATTTCCACACCATCTTGTATAACAAGGACAGCAAAACTCTGACTTCTTAAAGACCCCTGGGAGCTATTGGTTGTGGTGAATGGGAGAGACAATTTATTAGGGTGATGTATGTTTCTTAGTTTCTAATGATACATAAATTATCCCATGAGCCATGATACACATGGTTTAAAGAGAAT